TCCTATTCCGTAACTCCTCTCCAGCGCACCAGACAGCCCTCTCTTCACAGGAGGTTGAGATAAGACTAACTTCCTTCCATCGTCCATTCTTTTAATCGCCAGTGATCGAGTGCTGAGAGAGAGAGAACGAAGGTTGAAATAGCGGAATGATTTGAAGTTCAAATAACCCCAGTGATTGCAGTTGTTAAGTTGACGAGTCGTTTCGGTAAATGGCACATTTAATGTGGCAGCTATCGAGCTATTTCCTATCATGAAGCTTACAGTCAGGAAGAAATTCTACGATTATCCTCGGCCTGGCATTGAATGAATGTACTAGAGTGTCTACCACCAAATACCCGCAGAAACTGCCCAATTTCGAGAATACTACTGATTTTGCCTTCATTTTAAAGTATTGTTGCGTGCGTACGTGTTCGTAATAAATTGAACGCACAAGCCCGATGAAACGTAAATAAAATTTACTATTATCACAGCAAATAAAACAAAATGCTTCACTTTCCTCAGATATTCGTACAATATGGCAATATCTCATAGTAGTTATATTTTAAACTACCAAAACTTTTGACAGAACTTAATTCAAACAGAGGAAGCTAATCCGATTTCACAGCGAATTCGCTACAATCAAAAAGAGCAGTAAGTAAACAACTACTGAAATCAGATGTTTTTCTCCAGCTTTTATCAGCTTTTTAAACATGCACGAGAAACTTCTCGTATATCCTCGATTTTTCTGGATATTAAAAGAGTTTAAGGAGGCACAATTCCTTTTCAGTTTTCTTTAAATTTTAAAATTTATCGTAAATATTTTTATTATACTTTAACAAGGAATTAAAAATATAATTTCATTTTTTGCTTGTTTTTAAATTTGCTCCTACAGATTTTAATACTGGAACAATTTCTCTAATTTTTTTGTGTATTTCTTGATATACTATATAAAATAGTGGATGAAATTTTGGAAACTTCTGTTATTAAATTTAATAAAAATTTATTGATCTCATGATTAGTGAAAAAAAGAGAAAAATCTATTTCTAACTGAGTTAAACATTACCCCCCCCCCAAAAAAAACAATGAATCATTTTGAATTCCATCCACAGTTTTATCAAAAGCATAATAATAAATACGTGCAAAAGATTTTGATCTTAAAAAATGTCTTTAAAAAGTTTAGCATGTAAAGTTGCGCGCCTCCAACCTGCACGCAACAAAGTGGTGACTGCTGAAACTGGAAATTAGACAGAGTCTTGCGAAGGGTTTAAGTCCCTTTTTATTCAACTTTAGAAATTACAATTGCGTGCTCTTGACGCTCACGAACTACGCCGACCCGGCGGTAAAATAAAAATAAGGAAGTAAAAAGAGATTCTAACAAGTCACTAACTACGAAGCTCTCTAAACGTAACTAACCTCACCGCGTTTTACAATACCGCTGATACTTCAGCAAACTCTGAATATTACGTTGAAAGATTAACAATTTGTTTAGGCAAGCACACAGGCCGAAACGCGTGGTTCTTCAATTTCTGACTAACTACCTCCGCGCTCTTGAAGTAAGAAAAGCACACTTCGAACTCGTTTCCTTTCTATTTAACTCAGAAACTTCCGCTGATAATTTGAATCCTTGCGCGTTCTACTAAAATTTACATACTCTGGCATTGGCAGTTCCAGGGGAAAGTAAGGCTTGACAGGAAAGATAGTTTAAACTTAAAATAAATGTTAGTTAAAATAAATATAAACCCTACAAGCATTTGAAAGAAAATCTAAAAAATAAGAAACTTTAGCATTTTAAAAATATGTATGTCCACAAATATCGAGCACTGGAAAAATCAGTTTAAAGTTTGCATATCTGTCTAAATTTGAAACAGCGTTTTATCAAATAAATAATAGAATAAATAAATAAACAATAAAAAAATCTTAAAGGCCTCAGATTTTAAATTATGTCCAAAGGGGTGTTTTTTTAACGTTTTATGTGTTACCTTTATTTATTAAATATCCTGTCCTTTTCACTTAAACCATAAAATTCAGTTCAACAGCAATGTAGCAAAATGATTTTAAAATGACCATATCTTTAGAATTTCCGATACACAGTTCCGCGCGCTAGAGATAAAAAGTTTCCCCTCCCCCCCCCAATCTTCGAGAAAATTACTTAAGTTTTAAGTAGTTTAGAAATATAGAGAATTTGCCTAAATGACCTAGCACTTTAGCACTTTAGTATTTCATAAATTTTAAATAAAATTTTTTGAATATTGAATTGTAATATCATTTCTGAATCGAGAATATGTCCAATAGACAGTTAGCCACTCGGTTTATAGTTACATAAATTTTAAATAATGTAAAATTCGATAACTCCAATAATAATGTAGATTATGTATAATTTAATGCATATGATTATAGTTCTGATAAATGAAACCATATTGTAAAATATCTGCTGATGAAGACATTTCAAGGTTTATTTCCTGCATATAAGCCAACTAATATACATTATTTATAGATTTATTCTTCAAATGCTCTGCATAATTTTTTCTTTTTATCAACTTTAAGGAGCACTGGTAAATGGCAAATATAACCTAATGAGCTACAGTAACCCATCTGGTCGATTTTAAAAATACTTACTACTGCGATTACTACGTAATAAAATTGATCTGCATTTAATATTTGAGGTTGCTATGTGTTACTTGCTTTATGTGTTACTTGCGTGAAACATCATTTCTCCTTACAGAATGGATAGCGATATCTATACCTTCCTCCTCTTCCATGATACAGCCGGTTTGAAACCAGACAGAATAAGAAAGATCTCGATGTTTTAAATCTTATTAAGAAATCTAGATGCAGCGTCAGCTTGTATATGATTTATTAAAATTGAACATTGTTAGATTTAAAGCAGTTAAACTTTACTTTACTTTTCGTTTTATAAAAAGAGTTTGCTGTTATTCTCTTTATGCGTCTTAAAGGATATGATGGTACATATTTTTCCGATGATGTTTCATATAGTGCATCTAATGGTCAATCTGAAATAAATGCATCTTCCATACTATACAGGTAATGAAATTTTATAGAAGCAGTAACGTAGATGTATATTTATCTCTATCATCTGGAATGCAATTTGGCTATTTTTATCATAATATGGTAAAAAAATTTGTGATATGTTATTTACAGAAATTTCTAAATAAGTAAAAGTACCAGAAATCGGGGTTATTTTACGATATTCAGAACATGGGGGGGGGGACATAATTTAGGTGTAGTCTCCCCTCACACATATTGGCATTTCACCGAAAACTTCCGATTCTATATCAACATATATTTTATAATGAATTTAAAATTATGTTTCGTTTTCAGGATTTAGACATTCAAAATGGAACTATCTGAAGTGTAATACTTTATTAATGCGATACAAACTCTCTTTTTGACATCAATACTGGTGGAGGCCTGCTTATGATATAAGTCTTTTTCCATTATTAAGCATATTTTTAGCCATTTCTCTTGCAAACTAATGGCTCTTTCATTTTATGAGACGAAGGAGAAAATGGCCTCCAACTGTGTCTTCTAACATATTTTAAATAGGCTAAGATCAGTGAATTGCTCAGGATTCAGATAGTTTTCAAGTCTTCTTTCATGTTCTTCAAATCCCTCTGCTATCATTTTGTGTTGTGAGCTGGTGCATTATGATTCTGATATACGATATGCATTTCGCAATGTAAAGTCTGAACGACTGGGTGGACTTGATTCATCGACGATTAAATAGTTCTATTTGATCATCAACCGATCGAAATGCATTAATAATTCTTTTTGACCATGCAATTCGTTTTTCAAGAAACTTTCACGGGACTATTGTCTTGAGCGTCACTAATTCACATTTATATTTCCTGTGGATATGAGAAATTGCAGATCATATGACTCTGATGGAGCTCTGCACACGCAAGTACTCGAAGAAATTGAAAAAGTAGTGTAAGTACGTCTCTGAATAATTATTGCTTTGAATTGTGTACTGACCTCTTTTTTCGTTGCCGACACAGTTGAAACCTGTATTTACCATGGGTACCGGTGAGCTTTGGATTTGGTTTTGGTGCCTGGATATGAATACTAATGCAGCGAAATTACTGACAGACCTTTTCAGTAAAAATGCGTGAACTAAGAGGAATAATATTAAATTATGCCTTAATTTGAGTCGTGATAATTATGCGCTTTTTAAACACAATTCTCTTTAATGCACAGCCTTTTTAGATAACTTCCTCTTACCTCGATAGTTACTCCCGCTGGAAAATTTTCTTTGCTTTTCTAAGCACACAGATATGAGACAGCTTTATTCAGCATTACTTTCAATTTCATTGCAACTGCTCTTCCATTCTTTAATAAAATTCGGTGAATTTTATAACAATTTAAGCGACAATCAAACTACCCTTAAGAGAATTTAATTAACTTATAAAAATTAATGTTACCTTATAAATTTTATTACTCTTTTTTATTTCTAGCTAAAGAAGAAAAGCAAAAATACTGTAAACTATAATGTTGACGTTGATGCTTCACAATTACATATTTATACAAAGATGATTACCATTTGAGTAAGATGCAACCATTGGTACCGCAAAAGTTTCTCTCTTTTAACATTTATAATCTAATCCGCATAATTCGGGTAGCCATTAGGCTAAACAGAACGCTGCGTCCTAATGTAGAAACTCCGACGGGCAGTCTAATGGCTCTAAATCATACACTTGATGCTTCTTGGATTAAAGCCTCTCTTCTCGAGCCCTCCGAATTGTTGCCATCTCTATTCTTAAAGTTAGGATGAGTTTGGGGGACGGTTTTCAAATTTCGCTGCAGAAAGCATTAAGGTTTTACTACAAAATCCAGCTTTGTTGATTATCTTTTAGAACTGAAGAATTGCATAATAACAAAATAGTACATAAATTTGAGTAAACTAATTTCTTTCTTTTTTTATTAGCAATAATAAAAAACTTTGAACGGTAAGGTTGTAGAGTCATTAGGTTATTTTGAAGCAGGAGTACATGAAAAATGAGCAGTGCCCCCGCCGGGACTCGAACCCGGAACTCTCGAATATGAGCCGCGTGTGCTACCGTTACACCACGAAGGCACGCAGAAAGTAGAGAGAAAATACCTTATAAGGTTAAAACTTTTTCTGAATCTTAAATGAATTACATACGTAGCATTTAAACTTCGCTTTAAATATTTATATTATAATACATTTTTATGATTAGGTATTTAAAGAAAGTTGTAATATTAACCCTCAATAAACTATTAAACTGCACTTAGTATGACCTTTCTCTGCTTCCGACGACTTGTGTTTTCAGTATTTAATTATAAGTGAATAACTCCAAGAGCATGGACAGGTGATAAATTTTAACTGAATGGTTTTAGTAAAAAGCTACGTTTTTAAAACAACTAAAATTTAGCAAAATTTAACTGTGAAAGTAACGTATTTATATGTTATAAAAGGAACTGCGCACATTATTAATTTCGTGGTATTTAAATATTAAAGAGATATATTTTCTATTTATTCATCTTGCTTTACATGAAAATAAAAACAGCTTTAAACACTTTTAATAAAATAATTGGCTAGTGTAGAAAAATGTAAAACACAGGCTAAATGTAATTTGCAAATGCTTAACGCATTTTCACGGAGCTATATTTCTTCGATTTTAAGACGTTATTATTCTAAGATGAACCAATTAATTTTAGCACTGCGACAGATAAAAAGTTGATTCTAAAGAAACAATAAGTAAAAAGAAAAGATTAAAGTTCATTTAACAAATAATTTTTTTATAATTTCGATTTATAATACCCTAAACACATCTATTAAAATTATAATTTTGGAAAAATTATCTACTTTGTAAGAATAAGTAATTAGAAAAATCTACAATTCTAAGTAGAGATTCTAAGAACAACTTTCTAAGATTTAGAGACTCACCTCGATTTTTGTGTCCTTAACATCGGTGATAAGTGCATCTTAGAATCGAAAAAATATGGTATAGTTCGAAAACTGAAGTTTCACGTAGAGTAAATCACGTAGTTTGTATTTTTTATGCAGTAAAGAGAAGTTACGCTTATTACTTAGAATCATTTTCATTGTGAATCGTATATCTACAAAATGTAATTTTAGATTTATAGTTTATCCCTAAATACTCATGAATGAACTCGACGACGTACGCACTGCTTCTGGGAGTTTTCTCGTGATAAGGAGGCTGCGTTCGGCACTGCCTGCTTTAATAGAGAGAAACTGAAGCTCTTATATACGAGAAACATGAGCGTGTCAAATTGTGTTGAAGTGATTAAAGACATGAGTCAAAATCCACTGTTTTTAATTGAATGTTACACGAAATCTTTCCAAAAACTGAAGAATGTTTATTACATCATTCATACAAATACATAAACAAAATGTGAAAGAAATTCAATTTTTTTAATTATCTATATAAGGCTTTCAAGTAATTATTTCGTATGCATTTCAAACACACTGTAGATAACCATGATTGTTTTCAGGCCTGATTATCATCTTGTTCTCCAAATTTTAGGAGGCTACCAAATTATTCATAAGTTTGTTTTATCCTCACAAAAAAGAACAAAAGGGCATGAAAAGAAAGCTCTGAAGGCTTCCGAAGAATATACGAGTCTAGGATCTCACACAATTTCAATCTGGCTCTGACTATTTCATGCTATAAAGAATAGCAAACAATTTAACATTAATTCAATTTAACCTTTTGATTTCTTTACCTAAAAGAAAGATTCCATAATTCTAATAAAAGACCACTGTTTATCGTGAAAAGTTAAATAAATGCTGCTTACAAAAGTTTCATTTTTTTTTTTCATTGCCTTGCAAATGAAGAGCGCATGGTTTCGATTCTATAAAATGACTTAAAGCGTGTTTAATCGCACCTGCCATTTTCACTGACACAATAAAATTTGCTCAGTGAAGGTATATTTTATATTTGCCACAGGATTTAATAAATTGACAACTCAATAAGTAAAGAACTTACTCATCATAGTAAATGAGAGGTCTACCAGAACAGTGGTAAGACAAAAAATGTGTATTGATCAAAATAAATCTCATTCTGAAGAATTAAGCGTAACTGCAAATAACAGAAAAAGACGACACAGAAAAATGATTCTTTATGAAGTTTGTCTACTCATATTTTCCTGAAACTCTATCTAAAGTCTATCAATTGACCCAGCAGACAGAAAGCAACACCATTACGCTCGTGGTGTTGCTATCTGCTTTCAGAATTTTATTTTCATCAAATACTTTGCTTTTTTATGCTATGTGTTAGCAGAAGTAGACATTTCTGTATTCCAAACAATAATAGCTCATGGAGTCTACATAGAATGACAGTACTTGGGTACAATCGTTAATTAATTGAAGTTAATCAAAGCCTAAAGACACTTTGCAGAAAATATATTGTTACGAAATGTACAGGCGCGGTGAGATGGCTTTTCCGCAAAGTAGTTTTAGGGTTGCCATAAAATGGCAAGGGAAGACAGGGTTGCCATATTTGACGAGAAATCGCCCACTTTTGGCGACAAAATTGACGAAATCCCATGGGCGGATGGAGAACCTTCTGGAACGCATTTTTACGATTTAGCCCAGAATGTTCTCGAACATAAGCATACGAGTATAAACCCTGCTGGTCCGCAGTCAGTTAATGTGCGTCTCTCCTCGAGTGAGTGTCTCGCCTAGCAAGCTGATAGTATGTGCTTCATCGAGAGGGCGAGTGTGTGTGCCTCGCATAGAGTGCGAGAGAGTCAGTATCGAGTTGGTGTCTCATCTAGCGAGTCAATCCCTGCGGAGTCGATCGAGTTGACAGCCGGGCAGCGAGTGCCGAGTGGGTCGTCGAGTTCACCGAAGGAGTCTCTTAGTGTATCGCGATTAGTGCATCGTCAAGAGAGCGTGTTGTGCTCCGGGAACGACTGATCCGAAGAGTCGGGAGCCATGCTCTGTGTGTCGTCGAGTGTATTGCGAGTTGTAGCGGGGAGAGTCTTGAGAGTACGTGGAGTTCCAAGAAAGACCAAGCAGAGTCGGAAGCTGTACTCCGGAAAGCAGAGTCGGATGCTTTGCAGGAAGCTGTCTCCACCGTGATAGCCTGATTACCAGAAGGCTGTGTCGCTGATCATGTCAGCGTGTTTATAGTAGCTCATCGACGACTATAAAACGTGTTTTTAGCTGTCCTGACAATACTGGCCAATAAAGTGTCTTTCGATACTTCATCAAGTGTCGTCGTTATTCACACTAAAAATCTACGAACCCCGTACGAACGTGAAGGAAGAGAAAAACGTAACAATATATACTTTGCACAGTGTTGTATTTAGGTTCATATGGAGGTTCTAACAAAACACAGATATGCCTTGATACTCTGGAACAGGATGTCTGCGAATTAGTGTTGAATCAAGACCACAATGTTGCACTAACTACCGGATGCCAAAAGTAGAGTGCAGTACAGAACTTCTTCACAAACCTCTCATCTCCTATAGAGACTACGGTTCCCTATTATATTGTGTACAGAAGACTGAAGGATAGTAGTATGCATGTATATGCGTTTGAATATGCATCTGAGTCACTGCTGCTGGTCTAAAAGGCATTGCATCTAGAATGCACAACACAATGCTTAATCAGATAATAAAATAGGACCGTGGTTCAATCCGATGAATCCAGGTTCAGTCTAAGGATTAATGTACACTACATATTTATCTTTGTTTTTAAATTCTATTGAGTAAGGTGAGATACACTCAAAAGATATGATGTAGGGCATAGTCCATTTTACAGAAACAGTTCAGATCTTCATAAGTTGCACAGAAATCTAACGAATGGCAGATATGCATATGTTTCAGATTAGAGCAAGAATGGGATTTTATATTCGCAGAATATTTTAAAAGTTTTGAATGATTATGTTCAGAACCTCTGCCATATGTATCACTGTGGGTGATCCATTATATACCGTATAAACTATTTCTTTACAATAAAACATCTGTGCTCTGCACGACATGAGAATTTCTATTTAGCTTTAAGGGAGTTGTTTCATTTCTACCTCTAAAGAAACTACTAGTATTCTTATTTCTCTTGAGTTAATCCCTTATCAAAGCTGATTATCATAGATTTGATGCTTATCAAAGCTTTGAATATGGGTATATTTGTGTGAAATAAAATTTTCATCTAATGCAAAATACAAAGAATAGGCTTCTTCATTACTTAATAATAACAAAGAATATTCATTCTTCATTATTTAATCGCATATTTTACTTTGGCAATCCCAATCAATTAAATTTTACTTAACTTTTGTATTATTATTCTACAGAATTTGACTCTCATTGGTAGCATAAACTAGTACGTAGCAAACTCTTAACATATTTTAAGCGAATTATCGTTATGGTGGAGATTAATAACAGAGTCTTGAAAAGGTTTTAACAATCCTTTTATTTAAAATTAAAATTTTAACAAAAGAGTACGTCTTGTGCTTAACAAACTCGGCCAGCACTTGTGGCGAGATAACTTAAGGAAATATTACAACTTATTTTTGAGAAAGCTATTTCTCATTTGTTACCTGTGACATATCTGATGCCGTTATGAATGTTTAGACCAGTATAATATTCGATTTTTGTCGATAGTACCGAGCATGATAAATATTTTCACTAGAGCTGTCATGTAAATTGCTTATTAGAAACTCTAATACACCATTCCATGCAGAAAATATTAATAAGCAGAAGGTGAAACATTTCAGGTGAATATGAATGCTTTAAAGAGAAAACCATTAAACACTAAACCATTCAGAAGTTATTAATTTGGATGATGAGAAGGTAAATCTCCTGAACATAGAGTACGTTTCTAACTACCTAAAATTTTCAGAATTATGCATAGAAATAGTCTGTGTCTTACACAGAATATGACGCATTAGAAGATTTTATGACGGGGATAAAGCCTTAGATGTACTTAACAACAGCAATGCCCACTCTTTAGAACCTGTTTCCTTTTGATACCCGCCCACAGAGTCCAGTTCATCCCTTCCATCTGAGCTGACTTAGGGATACTCTTCCTCAGAGACCGACCACTTAATTCCATGCATTAAGATAGCTCTCGCAGTGTGTCATTTA